AACAAAGTGGGAATTTTCTGTCGTATTTTTGAGTGCTGGGTGTGCCTCAGTTTCCCCTGCACGGCTGCCCAGCCGGGGAGAGGGGTTCCGTCTGCGCTCGGGCCAGACTCACAGACATGGGGGAAGTGAAGGGGCCTTAAGGAACTGGCTGCACCCGACCCAGATCAAGAGAGGATGCCAGCCCTTGGCTGAGCCCGAGGCCTGAGAGAGGTGGGGGGAGGGGTCCTGGGATCTGACCGCGGAGATCAGACACACAGAGCCTGACCGTGGGGTTGTGGCAGGTTGGCCGGGCTCTGGCTGACCAGGCCGGACTCTGCATTGACCGTCGGGTGACCAGATGTCCGGTTTTTGACCGGAACCCCCTGCACTGCTGACCGGGCCCTTGACTGTCTGGTTGGCGTCACCGCGCAGCAGCCGGCATGTCCCCCCTCCGGCTCCGACACGTAGGGGTAGCCAGGGGGCTCCGAATGCTGCCCCCGCCCCAAGCGCCACCCCTGCAGCTCCCATTGGCCAGGAACCACAGCCTGGAAGCTGCGGGGGCGGTGCCTGCAGATGGGGCAGCGCGCAGAGCCGCCTGGCCGCGCCTCCACGTAGGAGCCAGGAGCTGCTTGAGGTAAGTGCCCCCTGGAGCCTGCACCCCTGCCCCAGCCCTGATCCCCCTCCTGTCCTCTGAACTCCTCAATCCCAGCCCGGAGCACCCTCCTGCACCCCAACCCCCTGCCCCAGCCCTGATCCCCCTCCCGTCCTCCGAACCCCTCGATCCCAGTCCGGAGCACCCTCCTGCACCCCAACCCCCTGCCCCAGCCCTGATCCCCCTCCCATCCTCCGAACCCCTCGATTCCCAGCCCGGAGCACCCTCCTGCACCCCAACCCCCTGCCCCAGCCCTGATCCCCCTCCCGTCCTCCGAATCCCTCGATCCCAGCTCGGAGCACCTTCCTGCACCCCAAACCCCTCTTCCCTGGCCCCACAACAGAGCCCGCACCCCTGCCGGAGCCCTCACGCCCCCCCTCCCAACCCCCTGAGCCAGCCTGGGTAAATGAGCGAGCGAGTGAGTGAGGGTGGGGAGAGCGAGCAACAGAGGGAGGGGGGGTGGAGTGAGTGGGGGGCGGGGCCTCGAGAAGGGGCGGGGCATGGGTGTTCGGTTTAGTGGGAGTAGAAAGTTGGTGACCCTAATTGACCTTCCCAGTGTCAGCGCGCCGGGCTCAGGGCCCCCAGGCCACGGCCAGGGCCCGAGGGACCCGAGTGTTGCAGACGCTGCCCGGCGTCCCTGCCATGGGCACAACACCCCCAGGAGCCCGGCTCGGAGGTGTGGGGTCTCCCCAAGGGAAGGGGGGGATCCCTGGGGGGTCCAGCACATTCCCAAGCTGGGGGTGTAGCACAGGGCCGGTGGCTTTGTGCCAGGCAGACATTGGGGGGGGGGCTGCAGATGTGGGTGTAGCGGGGTGCAGTGCCTGGGTGGGGGGAGGTTGGGTGATGGGGAGCAGTCCTGGGAGGGCTGGGTGCGGGGGGGGGGCCTGAGGGGTGGTCCTTTCTGGGGCCGTTCTGCTCTGGAGAGGGCACCTTGTCTCTGCAGGGCAGGGGTGTGCCCAGTATTGGGGGGGCTGGATACTGGGGGGACAGTCCCAGGGAGGTTGGGTGATGGGGGCATTGCCTGACTGTGGGGGGACAGTCTGGGGAGGGGCTGCGGGGCAGTCATTGGGTGGGGGGCTGGGTGCAGGGGGGCAGTCCCTGACAGGGGGGCAGGTTGCGGGGGGACAGTCCCTTGGTGGGGGTGGGAGGGCAGTCCCTAGGTGCGGGGGGTGCGGTCCCTACCAGCCAGAGTCTGCACCAGCCCGGTATGGGTGGGGGGGGGCAGTCCCTGGCTGGGGGTGGGTGCGAGGGGGGCAGTCCCTGGCTGGGGGGCAGTCCCTGGCTGGGGGTGGGTGCGAGGGGGGCAGTCCCTGGCTGGGGGGTGGCTGCCAGAGGGGCGGGGGTGGGTTTGTGGGGGCAGTCCCTGGCTGGGGAGGGGGCTGGGTGCTGAGTGCGGGGCCGGTGGGTTTGGGAGGCAGTCCCTGGCTGGGGGCAGAGGGTGTGGGGGGGGCAGGGGATGCAGGGGACTGGGTTTGGGGGGGCTCGGGG